TCTGTGATTCGTTCGTAAGTAAAACCGGTGGATTTAAAAAGTCAAAAAATAAGTGTTCTGATTCAAAGCTGTCATGTCACTCGAAGGAATCACTTCCCGCTTACTCAAACCTGGACAGGAGCAGTAGATATGCTACGTTGGGTTTCAAACCCCGGACCTTCGGATTATTAGGTTCGCTCCTCAACCATTGAGCTATCTCGACTTCACTGCTGTCATCGTCACGTTTCACACATGACACCAAAATAGCCCTGTCGTTTGCGATGAAAACAGCTTTAAAAGTTTCACATTCGCAGTGTTGCTGGCTAGGCGCAATGAAAGTGTCGGGTAACTGAAGCTTCAGTGGCTTTAGGTGTGGGTTTTCCCTTCCAATGGTGTTTATTTATCTTACTGCCAGTTCCCAGATCCCTGTCGTACATTCCCCAAATCTGGTCCACTCCATCACACAAACTACACAGCTCACTTGAGATTATCACGAAGTTAGCTGTGCCGAAACAACAACGCATGTGTTATTTCCATTATCGTGCTATTCTTCCATCTGTGTGCGGCAGCATCCGTTATATAATTTCGACCATTTGCTATAGGTAAGTACGCTTACAGATATGGTGCGTGTAGTCGAGAGATTGAGTGAATTTGACAGACAGTACGTGCACTTGCAGGTTCAGGTATGGCATGTGAAGTGGATACAGGCACACAGTAGACCTTCTGCTTTCGTAAGTATTATCACAGACCCACATACACAGTAAAGGCCCAATTGTAGGGAGTTGCGGGATTAGTAGACTTTCGTGTGAAAAGCCCTCCTTCCGTCCTTATCAGAAGCTATCTAGCAGGTTTCAAGCGTCCGCGGCGCTACTATCTGACTGAAAAGTCCTGATGGAGGGTCGGTCGATCGACACAACCAGGACAGTTATGGGGTTGTTGCCCGACGCGTCAAGCAAACCAGTCACATCGATCACGCGTAAACGTCCGACTGTTCAGACCTGATAAGCCAGATACGTCTAGTGTACACTTACGAACTTCTGTTGTAGGTAGATGGTCGCAGGGCCACAATTCTCATGAGCACTTGTATTTGAATATGCGTTTTCTCAACTTTCTGGTAACAGTCTGCTACGAGAGCTAGCCAATTAATGGTGCAATCTGGTGCGACTCGAACCATTGTTTCTGAGTAAAGTGACCTCAGGGCACCGTTAACTACAATCAGTAAGCGGCTAGTGAATATATTACGGCTACTGACTGGCACATGGTGAGTACCGCTCGTGCCGATGTAATGTTGAGAGTGGAAATCCCTGCTCGATCCAATGCAAAGTGACAGTAAGTCCAAAATTTATTAAACAAGACAATTGTATCTCCAGCCTTCAAACTTGGGAGCCATTATTCAACCAGTCCTTTCAGATTCCGAACAAGTTGGAAGCAATCGATGCGTCAGCTTGTTCCCATAACTTGCACTTTTCTAATTTGCCGTGGGATTCTTGAGACATCTGGGTGTCCTGCATCTTACGGTAGGTGACCAGAATTCCACCCTTCTTTCTCGCGTCTAACCATTCCTTCGGCTGGTGGTGTTGGACTCTTTGGAAGTGGAATTGACTTCCCCAGACATAAGAAATCACTTATTAGGTTGGCAGTGCGTGTATGCTGTGAACTCTTCTAATGAGTGATTTCTCTTGAGAAGTTGGGACATAACTGCAATCATTCCGAGTTTGCCATTTAAATTTTTCGAATTTGGCTGCATGTAGTGGGAATTAGTGTTATTTCCGCTCATGTTTGGACTTACCGTATGAATATCGGGCAAAAATTACCTGTCGTTCAGCCGTTGCACAACATTGCTGGTCCTTTGCAAATTTCCTCATTTGTTTTCTACGAAGAATTTTGCTGTGTTCATTTGTCTGCCCTGGATAACAAGAAACGTTCATGCTATTCATTATCGTCGATTTGGATAGGGTCTTTTTAGTGATTCCCCCTCGATCAACCGAATTCCGTTCTCGCAGTTTTCCTGAACCGGGCAACCAGATGGCTGACGGCCGATTGTCGTTTCAATAATTTTGGCTGCAACCAATCGATTCCCTCTCTCAATATCGGGCAAAAATTACCTGTCGTTCAGCCGTTGCACAACATTGCTGGTCCTTTGCAAATTTCCTCATTTGTTTTCTACGAAGAATTTTGCTGTGTTCATTTGTCTGCCCTGGATAACAAGAAACGTTCATGCTATTCATTATCGTCGATTTGGATAGGGTCTTTTTAGTGATTCCCCCTCGATCAACCGAATTCCGTTCTCGCAGTTTTCCTGAACCGGGCAACCAGATGGCTGACGGCCGATTGTCGTTTCAATAATTTTGGCTGCAACCAATCGATTTCCCTCTCTCTCTCTCGTCCCAGTAGCATCTGTTCCTAGTTAACCAAAAGACTTAGTGTCATTGTAATAAGAAAACAACTTTTGTGGCTGTTTGTTCGAGCGCCTGAAGCTCTACCGGTCAAAACTAGTTGTGCGCTGTACGTCTGCACCTGGTCGCTATGTAGCAGGCAGCTTGTGTGGAACTGAATAGGATTCTACATGTAAGCCAAACATGGGTGTAAAAGCATGCATGGGCACAGCGATGATCCGCGGTACTCAACCCCTTGTCAGAAACCGCCTGAACTGAAACACACCGTAGTGACTTGTTCAGAACACAATCAGTATTCTGCGTGTTTTGAACAATCGGTTTCTTTGGGGATAGTAGACAGGCACGTAGCATACAGTACCTACTGGCACACTGGGAGCTTATCTGCTGGGTTTTGCACTTTTGGTGCTGTGGCTAACAGTAAACCGCGGGCTACCATCGGGGAGGATTGCTTCACATTTTTTGGCCCGCAATTCTTACTGTAACAAAATCCTGGTACGCTGGCTACCACAGAGCATTCTACAAAGTTTACTTGTCGTTGTATGGTCTGTGGTCGCCAGCCTTGTACTTTTTCTGACATTTATTGCTGGTATCAAACACACGACAGTCACTCTGCCAACAATCAGTTGAACGATGTTTTCTCTAGTTTCAATATATCTAGTTTCCAGGCTTTTTAGTAACATGTTTCACTGTTTGCATGCTTATTTGAAGGCCTTTCAACCCAAACTCTGGTAGAATCAGCGGACAGTACAAACTATCGCCACGTATGATATGCATTCTTGATGTTCCATACCCGGAGAGTTCATCTTGTACTCGCTGGAGCGGTTAGGAACAGGTATCATTTTGATCCTTACAAGCTACATGCAAAGTAAATTTACCCCCACCCTCTTGAAACAAACGGCGTGTATTCCCAAATAGCTTGTCGATGAGCGGTTGCTTCTTGTATGATCCATTTGCTGGGATAATGAAATTCAAACTGCGCCTAAGTGTTTTAAACAGATTTTGTAAGAGTGTGATTGTTTGATTATTTTGGATTTTCAGTGTTCTTGCATATCCGTGACTTTGGCGTACTAACTCGACAGAATGAACATGGTGATGATCAGTCTCAGGTCACTAGAAACCAATGGTTTATATGCTGCTTTCAGCTTCATTGCACTGAGTCCATTTGTAACTGGGATGTGCTCAGTTCAGTTTTGTGTTTATTCTTCGCTGCGATGATGTGATGACAAGCTGATAAAGTGATGGCCAATTAATGAATCTGGGTCACCGGCACCTCGTACTCTCTTCTTTTGAAAAGCGAATCATTCATTCGAATAATGCGAAGGTTTATTTTTCCATGATCCAGAGAAGCTTGTTTTTTTTCGGCGTGAATATTTAATCTCAGGTGGGGAATGCTGCACCCCACCAGCACCCATTTAAAACACCGTCATGGGTTCCTAGGTTGTGGGAATGAAAGAACATCACTGTCGTATATTTCAATGCACAGAAGTTTGAAAGAACCGATCCATGCGCTCGATTCATTTGCCGAAATGTGGATGTAAAACAGGAAACTCTTTATCACCACTGAGAGCGATACCAATACTGAAAATCACCTCACCATTACTCTACAACTACATCGATTTTTCTTGACAGTTAACTGTCTTCGTGAACTAACGAAACCTTAAACCACCGATTTTCAACCAACCACTAACCTAGCATGCACTCGGTGAGAGATTCCTCATAGTGATGGCTCCAGCTATCCTAGAATTCGGTCAAAATTGCACTACGTCTGGGATGATGAAGATTCTTTGGTGTAGCTGAAACATCTTCGATCGAATTGTTTACCCATTTTTCTGGACTTTCAGTCATATTTCTTTGGTTTCATCTTGCTCTTCCCTTACAATGAATTACTTCCTAAACTTACAGTAAATCCGTTTATCTATTTACCCATCTGGTCGAACTGAGTGGACTTCAAAAAATAAGTGGCGATATCTCGAATATCGTAAAATGAGGCGGCTTTTGTGAAGCACATTCGGTTCAAGGCTGTCACAAACGACAATCTGCCCTTGGTACGCAAATGGATTTATTTCTCAAGTGTTGCACAACTAGGGTTTGAGTAAAGCATAAGGTTGACGGAAACTTGGGAACTGCGTCAATCTGAGCAGTCCCAAGAAGGGTGAAACTGATTGTAATCTGTCGAAGGGTTTTCAGCAACATCGGGAGTGGGTTCCGTCAATCAGATGTACTAGGTTAGCTTTTGTGATCGCTTTGAAGCTCAAATTTTTTGTTCGTCGTGGTGAGAATTTCACTGGATTTGTTCTTCTGGGCCAGTCATTTTAAGCTGCACATACTGTCGGCAATCGTCGTAGGATGCAAGTAGACCTTCCGAAATACTTCTTAAGTGTACCGTGAATGCAGTAAATTTTTATCCTCGATCTTGAATTCATCAGTCTTTATTTATCCGTCTACTGACAGTGTAGTAAGGTTTTATTTAGTATTTTGTATGTACTCATCGAGTAGGAAAGTAAGTTAACTACGCAACCGGTCATCTCCATCACCCACGCAGTACGATTCTAATCAGTTGAACGCGACACTGCGAAAATGAGGTGGTAGGTGTTGTTAATTGTCCATCTTATTTGTGTGCTTCAGTCCACCAGTTGGCCCTCAGAACCGTGTCACACTGGGTTCATTTTCACCCCCAGGCCGGAACATCTGGGTTGTCGCCTCAGACTACGTGTTTGTCCACGTGATGCCAATGGTCAGATGGGGCTCCCCTATGGAACTATGCGCCAGTGGTCCAAGTACGGGGAGCCGATAGATTGCAAATGGCCGGTGGCGCTCGGACCAAGTCAACCATTTCATGAACACAGGTACGTTTTTGCGGTGTTTTAATGGAAGTTCGTGAGGATAACGTTAGTAACACGAAGTTTTCGATGTTCATCTTTCGTACTTTGCCGTTCACATTTACGGTTCCCAGCTCCGTTGGCAACGAGTCACTGGCTAGTTAAACTATGGCCATATTTCATCTATTCATAATATGACACTGGTCAAACCGTTTAGGTTTGCCTCGGTTTGAATATCCCCACTCATGATCTGGATTAGAGCCGGGACGTTCAGTGGATTTACGAAGATTTTTAACAGAGATTCTACTCTCTAACAATTCGCACCATGTCAGCCTCCCTCACTAATACGGCTGTATATGATGCTTTTACTGCTTCGAAAATTTGTCATTTAAGAGTTCGGACTGCCACTCAGAAACGATGAGCGATGCTCGTATAAAAGTTTACCGTACTGTAATTCTGGAACGAAGTGTTTACGCTAGCCGATATATCGACTGACCCTTCCTTTTGTCTCGGGGCGTGTTGGCTTATCCTACTGACTGTTTGAAAACTTCAAATCGACTCTGAAATGTGCTGAGAGAACAGAGCTTTACTCTGTATGGATTCTCGCGGTGCGATTATTCAGCGGCCTCACGATATTAGCTCTGACTGAACTCCTCGATCGTTATTTCGCCATTTACATCACTGGATCAGCCTTGTGTGTTACTCGTGGTACATTAGTTTAACGAGCAACCAGTATGTGCTATATCGTTGCTCGGTTTTGTTTGCTATTCGTGGCAAAATAACAGCTACTTTGCTCATTTTGTTCCACTATGCTGAACCACTCCTGTAAATGGAACGTGGTCACCGTTCCACAGCTTTTTGCACAATGTTCAGCATCTCTTCGTTATCGCAATATGGGAGGCTACTGCTGTAATTTCTGTTACTTCAGCAGGTCGACCCCCATCAACAGGTTCGCCCTCTATACCAAGCCGTAGCAATAGGTTCCTAAGAACATGTTTTATGTGGAGCCGCGCGTGAAATCTACCAAACGCTTTTTTGCCGAAGAAACTTGAGGGATTGTGAACGGGAGCCTGGAGCATTCTTCATAGGGATCTGGTGGTGGATCATATCGCCCTAACCGGGCGAGATTGCCCAAGTGGTTAGAGCGCGAATTTACTGACCGGAAGGTCCGTGGTTCGAATTTGACCTCTGCCTCTCGACTTCCCCTGTCTAGGCTTGGGTAACCTGGCAGTATCCCAGCCCTTGTGCCTCCTTCGTGTGGCATAGCAGTTAGGCACCGAAAGGATGCTACAGCTGAACGATATATATGTATATATATATATATATATATATA